TTATAGCCAACAGAAACTTATGATAAGAGTTTCCGTGCTTTGAATCTGAATTTTCAGACATTTTGCTAATACTAATAAAATTCATAAAACTTTCATTTGTGAAACTTCTTTATATACTCTTTACATTTGAATAGAATTCAAATCATAAGACACTTAAAGAATTAATTTGCATAGACTTTAAGCACATGTCGATCCAATTCATAACTATTTCACGTGATATTCACTTAATATTTAAACCGATAATGAATTCAAATGCTATATAAAATCGCTAATCATAAAAGACTATTTATAACATAACTATAGCTATGGAAAGTTTTATTACTATAATTAATCGATCTGATCATACAATTGACATCACTTCGTGCCGGTATTAGAGTTATATTGTTCGTTAGATTATGAGTTGAGCAGCACTTGTAGTATAATATAAAGTAATATGAATTCAATATTAGTCTTATGCATAGAAATTCTTATAACTGTCATTTGTATGTAGACTTAAATAAAAGAATTTAACATTAGTTCAGTACATTGATGTCGTGTGACTTATGCAAATCTAATTATTTTACTTTACAATCATTATTTCATTATCAAGTCATTATAATTTATAGACAATTATAATTAAATAGATTTAAATAGAGAATTTTCTTAATAGTGGTTATAAAAAAGACAAAAAGTATTTTGCAATCTTTTATTAGTTAATTTATCGATAAACTAAATTTTAATTTTATATAAGCTTTGAATTTTAACAAAATTAGTTAATTATTTTTTGTTATTAAATCTTTGGTATTATATACTTATCACGAATTGTCAAATAATTAATTGTAACAGAATTTATAGTTTTCTCAATTTTTATCTTTAATCTCTTTACACGACCTATCAATACAACAATCAATTAATAAATATATTTAACACTAATTTATAGCAATGAATACCGTCTCCAAAGATATCGGTGGCATTGAGTGCAGTCTGAACATTATGAGCGTCGGTGCCGGCGCTCATCCATACCTCCGCCGTTCCCGTCAGACTTAAGTCAACGTTTTGGTGGATCTGGATTTTGCCCACATTTCCAAACAGTGCCAACACCTCCTTAATAGCGTCCAGATTAATATTGGGACCGATATTTGATACGAGTAGTCGTCCCTCTTCGTTGTCCGGTCGGACAGCCATTTTGTGACGCCTGGCCGGTGCCATCCTATAGGCTCGTGGCCGGTGATAGTGTCGCACCGGTTTTGATAGTCTTCCTTTCCGAGTCGGCATACTTTTTGTCCACTTATTACTGATCTTTTAATTTATAGTTTAGTTTATAATAAACGAAATTTGAATTTAAAATATTTTATATTAACTTAAATTGAGTTATAAAATGAATGCCTTAAAACTATTTTATAAAATAATTAAAATTGTTACTATACTATGGGCTTAACAATCAATAGTAAAATATCTTTTATAGCTATTTATTTCTAATTATTAAATGATTTTCTTCTTTACACATTTGTGATAACATTTTTAAAAATAAATATTATAAGTCAGTATTACAGACCTATTTCTATACTATCTATATATTCTAATATGCATTTAAAAATTTTACATTTTTAAAACTTACAAAAGACTGACTAAATTTAAAAAATCTATTTGCAATTATTTGCAAAGAAATCTGTAAAATTCCTAGATTTGATAAAAATAAACTATTCACTCATATTTGGTTCGATAATATGAAAAATAAGAAACTAAGTGCCAATAATAACTAAACTCAAGAATTAATACAAATGGTCAGAATATATTTCATACATTTACATTATAACTTAAAGTTGTAATAGTTTTTCACAAAATTCAAATTATTAGTCGTCTCAAAAGAGTTTGAGTCTTACATCTAAACACATGTTTTATTTAATTTCATAAATTTGATCTACTTTTTATTGATTTTAATTTTATTACAAATCGCAATCACATCAGTATTATAACGATGGCCTCAAATAAGTTTGTATTTTCTCCGCCGCTCTCCAAGAATAAAGACTACGAAGAATCGGTGCAATTGGTTGAAGAGGAGGAGGAAGAGGATGAGTCGTGCCATTCATGCGATGAGGACTCGGACGTGGATCGCGAGTACAAAGTCGAGAAAGTATTGGCCAAAAGGGTAGTAAAGGGAGAAATTCAGTATCTGTTGAAATGGGAGGGCTATGACTCCGAACACAACTCTTGGGAACCGATCGATCATATGAACTGCAAAGGACTGATCAGAAAGTTTGAAAAACGCCTCAAAGTTAGGTATGACATGAATTACACGGATGTCTTCGGCTTCGATCACAACTATATTGACGACACTCTGGAGTCCAATACAAGTGTTGCCAATGACTCAGGAATTGGTGCCATTGATGACGAAGACCTCTATGAGAGCTGCGAATCAGTCGATGGAGACGATGGCAGTGAAGGAGATATTGTGAGCAATGCAGATATGGGGGACAAGAGTCTACCGGTTAAAGACAACACAGCGAAAGAGGTTTCGGTCAATAAGTTGTTTAAAATAAGCAAAAAGAAGACCAAAAACAAAGAGTCTGAACAAATGGTAAACATGAATGACTCCTACTATGATTGGGAATCGTTGCCAACTATTTTCGATATCAATCTCTCGGACTCGGATGAAGAGATGGCAAAATCGGGACAAAAGTTAATTCAAAATGAAGTCATCAAACAAGAGATTCAAATGACATCTACTCCTAGTTGTAGCCAAACACCGAAAGTGCGGCCAAATTCTATGCTGTCGTTACTGACACCACCCGTCACTCCAATAGAGCCCATAGACTTGACACTGGATGACAGTGACGATGAGGTCAGCATTTGTGAGCCTCTGCCGGGTGTCACTCCCAAGATGTCCATTATATCCAGACGTCCCAAAAGGCTAAGTTTTGGTCAAACGTCAGAAATTGTTACCATTTCCGAGTCGGAAGATGAAGAGGACAAGTCTGATGATAAAGAGGACAATCACAGCAAAGAATCTTCTCGTGAAATGTCAGATAAAAATGGCGTCGATTTGAATGAAAAAGATATTACCGAAGAAAGAGCTGATCCATCGGTTGATGGAAAGCAAACACAGAGTGAATGCGAGACTAAAGGCAATGAAGAAGTGGCGGACGAGTCGTTCAGAGAATTAGTGATTGATATGAGTTGTGGACCCGAAGTCGAAAACAATGAGAATATTCTCGAAAAGGATTCCGAAAGCGAAGGAAACAGTGGCGAAAAACCAAATCAAGTCAAAAACCTAATTTGAAGTGTAATAAAAACAACTTGAGTAAATTATAAAAATTGTGGAATACTAATAAATTTCAAAAATTATAAAATAATTGGTTACTAAACTGCCCATTAATCAATACGAAAAATAAGTTACAATTCATTTTTAAAGTATTATTTTAGACACAAATTTCCTTAAGTGTGAACCAATTATTGAATTTGTATTAAAATGAAATAAAATTAATCAGACTTCTAATTTCAATTTTGTAATTATGTTTTGTTTATTTAAAATGGATATTTCAATTTATGACTTTTTTCACATTTCACCAATTTCTCGATTCTTCGAAAATAATAACTAAAAACAATAAAACTTTTCTGAATATATGATAAATCAACAGTTTTTCCTGTTTGTATCGATATATCCAATGAACTGTTTGGGGGACTGGTATTCAGTATTCATACACATAAACCGGTAATTTCCAAGTACAATTAACTGCCGAATAAATTTTGATTTCTATATAACATAAGTCGAAAAACAAGTTTTTTGAAAATTTTTACGTCACCTCAAAAGCCAAGGACTTTCGCTGAGCTCTTTCACAATGTGTTTCATGTAATGATTCAAAACATAATTTAATCATTTGTTTGAGTTTACAAAATGAAACTTAATTTCTATACAAACATTTAAATTTGATTTAATGATAGAAAGTCCTTTAGATTTAGTCAAAGAGTGTATTTGATATTAAAACTTGAAAAATATGAGTTTAAATGAATGTTTAGACGATAATGAAAGTGAAGTTTCAAACAACAACGAGAGGTAAGTTTGATATGAAATTACTATTGTTACTTGATAATAGATATGAAACTACTTAATATCTACTGTAACTATTCAAGTCTCGTATATTTTGTTACAAATATTTTATTGACATACCATTAATTAAAACCAATTGTTTTCTCTGTGAGACTGTATTTGTTTTAGAAATGTTAACTAAAAGTTAAAAAGTTAAACACTTGAACAATATTTTAAAATTTCAATCAATATTTCAAATATGATTGAGTATTATATAATAAAAAAGTAAATTAGTTTATATAAAACTAGGATTTCATAATCGCAAACGATATGCTATTTTAATGAGAGCGTAAATATTCTGTGCCTCCAATGCACACAATATAGCACTCATTCCCAAGAATTTGGCGTAAATTAGTTCGGCATGTACTTCCACTAAGATATGTATAATAAAATTAGTATTATGATAAACTGTACTAGCTTACTGTAGAACATACTGTCTGTATATTTATTATAATTTGGTGTTTTAAACAATTTGAACAAATTATTAAAGAATCCAGTCCTCCGTAACTTAGTACTCAATTTAGCCGTTTGTTCCGTGCTTTGTGTGGCTCTCTCCAAGTCATCCTAAGATTTATGTTAAATTCAATCATTTAAAATTTTGTCAAAAGAGTGAAATATTATTATATATATAATTTATTTGTGTACTCAATAGTATGACAATACCTTTTTGAGGGTAAGACCTGCTTTGAGGATAATAAGTATGGATCGGAAGGCACTGTGATATAAGCTGTTGTGAACGTATGGTTCGAGCATTTGAATGCCTGTCTCGAGTCCATTGCTTTCAATGGCATTATCCAGAGCTTCATTCACCAAACGAATGGATTCCTCTATAGTCTGACAATTACTGGACAATCGGCACGACATTTGTCATTAATTATTGTGTCAAATGGTTGTCAACAAAAAATACATTATTTTTTATTATTTTTATCAGTAAAAGGATTGCAAAATTCGCTTTGACTGGAGGCTATTATTTCATTCATTTGAGTAACAATTTAGCATACCTCAGATTAAATAACAAAATATTTATAACTGTACTGCTTACATACTATTTACTACATTAACTTATTAATATCTGTAAAATCAGGTTTACTTTAATCCTAGTTTTATATAAACTAATTTACTTTTTTATTATATAATACTCAATCATATTTGAAATATTGATTGAAATTTTAAAATATTGTTCAAGTGTTTAACTTTTTAACTTTTAGTTAACATTTCTATATATCTTAGTGGAAGTACATGCCGAACTAATTTACGCCAAATTCTTGGGAATGAGTGCTATATTGTGTGCATTGGAGGCACAGAATATTTACGCTCTCATTAAAATAGCATATCGTTTGCGATTATGTGTCAGTGCTTTCAAGTAATATTAATTATAATTACAAAAATATTTGTATTTACACCTTAAATATAACATCTATTATCAGAGAATGTAAAACAATTCTGAGGACCCGAACCGTTTGGGAATCGGAAACTTCTCGTCAACACATAGAGGCCGGCGTACGACTGGCCAGTGGTTTACAACATCTGTTAATCAGTCACATTCCACCAAAGCTGCTAAAAATTGTCAATTTTCTGGGTTATAAAGGAGTGGAAAGCCGTGCCTTTCAAGAGTTAAGCCGAACAGCATTTGAATTGCCCGGGATCAGTAGCAGGATCGCTCAGATTGTGCTCCTATTCTACTGGATTGCTGGACAACCCCATGGATGTCTCGGTCCTAAAGAGCAATCTCTAGCCTTTAGCGAACAAATTATTGATAAAGAATTGAAAAGATTCCCAAAAGTAAACTACTCTATAAATTATCTTGATATTTTTAATTGATTTAATAATTATATACAACTTTTCCAGAGTTTACTGTATAGGTTAGCAAAGGCTAAGTTGGAACAAATCAGTGGTCGCATCGATTCGGCCATTCATTTGTTCAAAGATTGTTTGGTTAATAATACTCTGGAAATCAGTCACAAGATCTTTCACATGGAACTGGCCTTATGTTATGCACTCAAATGCCAATGGAGTGAAGCCATTGAAATGGCAGAACTGGTTCGCCAACAGTCTGTCCACTCGCCGGCAATCATCACATATATTGTGGCCGTCTTTAGGTATGCAAAGAGTGTAGACGACAGCGACCCCCGTATGAAACAAACGGCCGCAGAATTATTTAAGTAAGTATTTAATCCCCAATTAAAAAGTGTAATCTGTAATAAATTGAAATTGCTAATAGGATTATACCGTCGCTGAGAATCAGATATTTTGGTAAAACAATAACTATAGAGAAGATTGGGATCGAAATGTCTTTACAATATTTTAAAAATAACGATTCATTGGCTTTGCCTGAATTGGTCAGTCATTCAGAAATATATGAATTCCTCAAAAAATATACTGAAAAATATTTTCTAAATTAAAAAATAGGAAACTCTCTACTCTGGAAATTTATTTTATTTCATCAAACATAACGAACCGCTTTTGGATAAACATTTGCAAAGAGTTGACAAACACATCGATACGTATAAAAAGGATTTCGGTATTAAATGTCAAAACAAATAAATTTTAAAATTTTAAAATTAACTTTTTATTATAGACGACAACATCTGTGCGGACGACTACTTGACTGCACTTTTCTTTAGAGCAGTTTTCCTCAAACTTAAGGGCAATTATGAAGAAGCAAAACAATGTCTTCATATCATATTAAATGAGTTCGTTATCTGATCCCTCGATTGACTGTTTTCAGTGAAAGCAAACACTTTTTCATTTTAATATTACGGTTGCAGAGAATCACGAATTGAACGCGACTTCTCAATACCTCCGCAAACAGTACTGGAGTTGGGATTAATAGAGTTGGAGCTCAAGAACTCGGATGAGGCCAAGAGATGGCTCAACAAAGTCATCAAAGATTACTCGACATATCTTCGCGAGAATTTCGTTCACTTGAGAGTCTATGCGGCGCTCAGAGAGCTCGGGATCAGCACTGATAAGGAGAACGAGGATCAGTTGAAAAGTGAGTTTTCATTGCATATAATAGTCTATAATTAGAAATAAATTATTGATTTGTTTCTCTCGATCAGTGAAAGAATATGGAAAACAATGGCTCCAAGACTTGGAAGTGGAAGAAAATAGTTATGAAAACATTGTCAGAAACGATAGATTAAAACTTGAACTTCACTCAGATTAACAATAATTTAATTATAGCAATAATTTCTATTTACAATGTTTGAAATTAAATTATATGATCCTAAATACCATATTCTTTCAGGGCAAGTTTGCAATTTTCATTGATACCGGTAATTTCAATAAACTGTAAAAATAAAACTATGAAATGATTAATTGATAAACTACAGTATATTGTAATAAATTTTCATTTATTAAATTATCGGTTATCTCAAAATGAAATGATTATAACAATAATCATAATATCTTTAAACTCAATGTTTGTTTTAATTAATGAATTTAAACACAAAAAGTCATCAAATATATAGTCTATTGATTTGACAGCGAAAGGGATTTAAAGTTTAAACATAAAAAATTATATGAAATGGACAGTGATTTAACTGATAGGAAGTGGTAATAACTTGATCTCAGTTTGACAGTCATTATAGAGCTCTTCATATTGTTTGTTGTGTTTAATGAGAACCATAAGAGCGGGTCGTTTGATGCCAACGGCCGTCGAGATGTCGGCCCTCAGAGGGACGTAAACATAGGGGATGTTCTTCTCCTCACAAACGGCCGGCAAATGACACATCACTTCAATGGGCGTCACATCCCCGGCCAACACCAGTAAACCGGTCTCTCCTGAAGAATATAACCACAATTATCACCACAATTTGGTCACCACTTGCCGAACAAACCCTTTCTGATCCTCAACTGGACGTCTTTGAGGCCAATCCTGAGGTGCTCTTTGCGCGACAGTTTCGACGCCTTGCGGATCAGTTTGAACAGCCGTTTCGACAACTTCTTGGACGCCATGGGCTTAGCGATGGCTGACGTGAAGTTGATCTTTGAATCGTACGGCAAATCAGTCCATCGGCGCGAGTCGTTCAGCGATATGTCCGCGTCTTCGTCGACGGCCTCCTCCTCCACGTCTTCCGTCTTAACCTTCTTAGCCTTCGGCACATCCGTGTCATCCGTCTCCTGTTTCTCGCGCTTTGATTTGCCCATTGATTATCACTTAATCGGTTCCCAAATCACGATTCAATTGATCACAACTTTGCAAAACACATGTGTTTTCAACACAAAAATCATTTGTTTGTCGACTAATAGAGAGCGCTATCACTCGACACACAATACGTTAACATTGAAAGCGGTTATGTGTATCTCTATAGAGCGTACAGTTAACTGGTTTTTCACGCAAAAAACTCAATGCATTCAATGAATTGAAATCCATTTTATTTGACCTTAACTTCAGTTTTCATTCATTTGTGCATTGAATCCAAAAATCGGTATTTATTTCGATATCTCTTTGACTAACCATTCAATGATTACTCGATGTCTAAACCCCTGGATGTGCTCTCAATACAGATATGTCGCGAACTCTACTATCACTGCAATCGTTGTCCTCAATGGCGATGAGGAGTGCATCGACGGCCGCGTCACCGATGGTTCGGACGCCTATTCCCCTCTTCGGCATCGATGGCCGCTATATATCGGCCCTCTATTCGGCCGCTTCCAAGCAGAAGAAGTTGGAGACCGTTGACAACGAGCTCAAGACACTGCTTAAAGTGACGCAACAGGACTCGCGATTCAAAGACCTGCTCTTCAATCCGTTGATTAAGGTTTGACGCGATGTCCGCTCGAGTGGTGATGTTTGTGACACTTCTGTGTCTTATAGGCGTTCGAGAAGAAGGATATCATCAATCGGTGTCTGCCGTCACTGAAGTTGACTGAATTGACGCTCAATTTGATTGGCGTGTTGTCAGAGAACGGACGCATCAAACTGTTCCCAACGGTGGCCAAAGGGTTCAATCGAGTGATGTCTATATCTCGTGGCGAACTCGAGTGTACGGTCACCACCGCTAAGCCTATCGACGATAATACGCGCAAAGAGATCGAGCAGTCGTTGAATGGTTTCGTCAAAGGTTTGCATTTGTGGTGCCATTTGTTTATCCCGTAAATTGATTTTAATTGTAATTTTAGGCCAAAAATTATCGATGACTCTCGTAGTGGATCCCAAGATAATGGGAGGAATTCAGGTGGACTTCGGCGGTGAACACTATATTGATATGTCTATGAGAAGTAAATTCAATCTATACTCAAATCTCATTAAACAAGCCGTTTAGCCGTTAGACCATTGTTTTGCTTATAATTATGAAATTAGAGTTCAAAAAGTCAACTAAATTTGCTTTTGATTTAGTAATTAATTAGTTTTTAAATATTGTTTAAATTTAATTGCAAGTCAATTGAAATAAAAAATTTAATTTAATGAGAAATCACTATATTTGTATTTTAACACTATGTTATATCATTTCGTATGATGGACAGATTTAAATTTATAAATATTTATAAAATGTACACAAAATTAATATCAAAACTTTTATTTAAAAATTACAATCAAATCGGTTCAAGGTTATAAAATATAAGTTAAAGAATATGTAAAAATATTTACAAATTACCGGACGGTATGTCGAAAACACAATTTTCATAATGTTTACAGTATTTTGTATCACAATTTGATGATAGCGTTAATCCAATCCAAATAGTTGTTAACTTTAGTATAGAAACCAAATTTGCCGCTCCGGCCGCACCCCTCCCCCCACGACACGACGCCTAACATAATCCATCGCGACTTATACGGCACGACGAAAGGGCCGCCGGAGTCGCCCTTACAGGCGTCGCCCAACACCTCCTTCCCATAACCCGCGCAAAACATATTAGCCGTCACTTTGAAGGCCGTCGATGACCGGCATTTGCCTTCTTCGACGATCGGCACCCGTAGTTCCTGTAGGAATCGGGGCTGAGGGCCGTTCTCCTTGAGTTGGCCCCAACCGGTCACGTGTCCGATGCGTAGGGCGCTGTTGGGCTTCAAGAAGAACTCGTCGGTCGCCCGGCGCTCGCGTTTGTCGACGAGACAAATGGGGACAATGCTTGGCGTGAATGAGATGTGTTGCGACAGTCGCACCAACGCTATGTCGTTGTCGAAAGTGTCGCGACTGAAGTCCGGGTGACGAATCACTTCCGCGATTTTAGCCACAAATTCCGTCTCTTCGATCACCGTTTGGTCGAATTTTCCGAGTTTTACTTCAATCGCTGACTCCGAGCCCGTCTCGAAACAATGGGCCGCCGTTACCACCCATCGCTCGTTCAGAAGTGCCTGCAATTCAGAGTCTATTCAATTAGTTTCATATAAAACTAATTAGCATTTTATGTCTTTAATAAACAATCATATTTGCGATAAGTTTTCCGTCATATTATCTTAAAAGGTTTAGTATGTAGTAAAACGTTGTGGTTTTTACCACAAAATTTTTTTTAACAAATAACTAAATTCAAGGCTATATTGTATGAAATTGGCTAAAGGCTGTCGAAATATTTGATTGCAAAAATGCTAATAATTTCGCAATTTCCAATTAATAGATTATTTTATGGGAATTCAAATGAAATATTAATAGATACTGACACCACCGCAAAAGGCCTTCCGTCTGTAGTCCCAGAACATGACGTGCCAGGGCTTCACAAAAATCAATTCATTAATACTGATGACAATAATAGTCACATCGGGTCTATACATACTTAATAGATACTGACACCACCGCAAAAGGCCTTCCGTCTGTAGTCCCAGAACATGACGTGCCAGGGCTTGACAAAAATCAATTCATTAATACTGATGACAATAATAGTCACATAGGGTTTATACATACAAAGGCGGCTTTCGTGGCTTCCGTTCCGCCGATAATCTTCGAGACGTCAGGGTTTGGTTGGTTTGAGTGAGAAATACCGCAAATATTGTTGACATTAACCCGTCGGTTGACACTAACTCTGGCGCCTGACTTGACGGCACAGTCGGCTGAGTCGGGGTTTGCTATACAGTAATAAATGCCCGAATCCTCGCTCATCGCCGGATCCAGCAATAGATAGCCGTTGTGTAACTGATTCACTCGCGATATGTTGGCCAGACTTCGGCCATCCTTTTCCCATTTGACGGCATTCCTCGAGTCGACGACATTGCACTCGAGGACCACGAAGTCTCCTTCGCTCACACTCTGGTCTTTGGGTCGCTTCCGGAATATAACTGACGGACAGGTAGTTTTCCTGGCGCTCAGCCACCCCTCTCTGTACTCTTTGCCAAATTTACAGATATATCTGCCCTCCGATGCGGTCGTGAACTCCTTTATGATGAGCGTCTTGCCATTGGGTGCGATACCAGTTGTGATTTGTTTGTCATTCTTGAACCAAGTGATGGGATCGTTGGTCAGTGGCTCGCAATGCAAGACATGAGTGGAACCGATAATAACGGTTGCATTTTCTGGCGTTCGGAACACCTTTGAGGTGATGGTCCGGGACTCAGGGTTTCGTTCGTTCAGATAAGTCAGTCTCGATGTAAATCCGGGAAACTCAGCGAAGTTGTCGGAAATAAACTTCATGTTGCATTTTCTGGCGTTCGGAACACCTTTGAGGTGATGGTCCGGGACTCAGGGTTTCGTTCGTTCAGATAAGTGAGTCTCGATGTAAATCCGGGAAACTCAGCGAAGTTGTCGGAAATAAACTTCAGTTTAATTGTCCTGTTTTTGGCCACATATTTGAATGGTTGTGAATAACGGCCGCATATGACACGAGTGGCCGCCCTCTCGTCCTCCCATATCTCGAGTCTGTCGTTGTTCTCACACTTAGATCCCGCCTCCAAATGGATCCAATCAAACACTATGACCACTCTTTCATCATCAGATGGCGAAGATATAGACATTTCACAGTTCAGATTTGGCAGATAATTATCGGGGAAATTGGGACTATCGAGGGTCATATTACTCCAATTGACTTTCCAATTACAGCCAAAATTACTGTTTGCGGACTTAGATGTGGACACTTCGGCCCGAAAGCCCTTATTATTGAGTAATTGGTCCGAATGGAAGTGAAGAAGTATCACATTTCCCGAGGATATCATCGAGAAGGTGACCCCCTCTGGCTTTTCGCAGAACTTACCCAACGATTTATTGGCTGTCGACGAGTCAAAGACTTCGAGATAATCGTAGGCGCAGTGACTGTCGTGCTCTAAGAGAAGTGTCTCGAAAGTGATGGTCAAAGTGGTGTCTCTCTCGGCGCGGATTAATGTCCAGCAATCAGTCGAGTCCTCATAATTGTTGGGATATTTAGGAGACGTGACGAACACAAAGTTCGTGACATTGAGCTCTCGGACACAGTCCACGGATTCGGTGACAATCCTCAGATGAAAGCCAAAGTCCTCGTTGTTGGCATCCGAACGGAACCGGAGTTCCACACTAGACGTGTTAACCGGGATCACCGATTCGGTGACTTTGCCGCACAGTCTGCGGACACCTTTGATGTCGAGGTAATCAAACTTGCAGTTTGCATCGTTGGTCTCGATGTTGAGCCGAAAGATCTCGATTTTGATGGTTTGACCCTTTTGTGCGCTTATATTCCATCTGCAGTCGACATTTGGTGGATATTTCGATGGATACAAAGGACTGGTTATCTCTTCGCTGATATAGACTGTGAAACTTCCGCCGCATTTAAAATCAGTTGTTTTGGCGGTTCTTCTGCTCGTATCCGTTGGTTTAGACTCTTTTTGAGCTAAACTGGAATTCTTGGAATTGGAGTTCCGATCGCCAGAGGATGATATGTCTCGCCTTCTTGTTGTCAACTCTTTGGACTCGGTTTCCACGCGACTGGATATGGACTCCAATATGTCTTTCCGGAGATTAACATCATTTCGTGTGGAAATCCTCTTCGGACTACTTATGACTCGTTCCCTGGATTCAGGCTTAGAGTCACTGTTTTGTCGCCTAACCCTTCGGTGAATATTGTCCACCACATCAACTGAGTCCTCCCTAACCATCAAAATAATTAATTTTTATATATAAAATTAATGAAAGAAAATCTAAATTCAAACAGTTTTAAAATATACCTGAAAAAATCTATACCTGATGCAACTATTAAATTTTAATTTATATTTTACAAGTGAATATACAATTTTTTGTTTTAAAATATAATTTAGAAATCTTTAAATCTAACACTAAATCTAAATCTAACATATAGTATACACTGTATACTATACAGGGTATCAAATGTTTGCGAAATTATAAGTGTTTTATAACTTTTTATCTAAAATACCATATTATTTATAGAAATATGAGTAAATAGTATTTGAAAACTTTATCAAAAAATATAGTAAGACATTGAGATATCATATTATGATAAGTTATCTTGTTAATGATTCATATGGATAGCTGACCTCTTCTACAAATGATCAGTTTGAAAATTGAAATGCAATGAATCAATGAATAAGTGTACAATGTCATTTTAGATTAAATAAATTAGATATAAGCATGTGATAATTTTGTTACACATTTAAATCTTAATAATATATATAAATTATAGTTTAAAATAAAACAAATACATTTGAATTATGACTTACTTGAACGCATCGTAAACATGGGCAAATAATGTCAAATATATGATAATTAGATAAATCATTGTTTTTAAACATTTTGGGCTCATATTTGTGTTTCACGTGTGAATACAGCCATCCAAATGGCATTGGAGAGCGAAAAACAAGTTTTATTCAATTGTGACGTTTATTTAACCATTTATTTGTGACACTTCTTAAGACAAATTGACTACTTTTTTACTCAAAAATACTTTTCAAAGGAATTATTAATTTTTAAAAACGATTTGTTGATTGAAAAAACTTTTCTGTGAAATGCAACTTTTAAATGAGCATTAAATCCATTTGAAAAATTCTTAACAGTATTTGAAAGTTACTGGTAATGAAATTAAAATTAAAACAATTTTTATGTCATATTTACTCTCGCGTTATATCAATGAGTGATTCATTATTACAGAACTTTATGCAGATATCAAAAGTCTGTCTGATATTTATATTACATTAATTTTAATATTTAAAATACTATAATATATGATTTCATTTAATTAAAAATCATATATAGTATTACTGTATATAAAAGTTTTATAATAAAACTCATTCAACATAGTTGATAATTAGATTTTTATATGATTGCCCACACATTTGCAACCTAAGCACTTATTTATGCGTTTTGTCAAAACACTCTTTCACTCATAATAACATGTAATTAAACTAAAGATTTATTGCATAAATCGATATAATATTTTTCACTTTTTAGTATTATATTGAATATATTATTGTGAATACTTTATACACTTTTTTTTATCTGTCTATAACTTTCTGATAACAATTTTATCAAATTTAAATTCTATGGAAATGTTATGCAATTTCACAGAATTCTATGTAAATAAGAGGTCAGCATATTTCCAACTATTTGAGCACTTTTTGGTTAGGATTTAGTTCAATGCATCCATTGATGAATTTTATTATATACTCTACTATTATTCGTTCATTTATTATCAGATCTATTGTTTTAACAAGAGATGACATTTCTATTTATAGTAATTATATAATTTTTATTAAGTTATAAGTTATGAAGAATTGATACTAAAATGACATCATCAGAGTTATCCCGAATATTTGTTATTGCAATATAATAATTAAAATTTGATTTATGTAATTAATTATATTTAAGCTTCTATATTAATGGATAATATAAAATTTTAATTTAGTGATTGTATTACGGTAGATAAACATTCACCAAACTTAATACTTTATAAATTACATCTAATTCTCAGAAAATTAATATTTATTTCATTGTTTGTATAACTACTGGAATTTTACTACATATTTGATGAATGAAATATTTATCAAAAATAGCATGAATTGAATTTTTGTAATGACTCAAAACATTGTTTTATAATAGCATTGATTGCATTGAATACTGGAATCTTCAATTCACTCAATAATATTTGTAATTTTATACATCTCTTTATAGCATTCAATGTCACTATTGTTTAGAAATATTTCTCGTTATAAGAAATATCTTATAAATCAAAGAAATAGCAAAGCATTTATAAAAAAAACATAAACCATATCCTTAGATGAGATTTTTGTTTCAAATATGTTTGAGCCCTCAGTCCTTAAATATTTCCATTTGATTACTCTTTCCTATTCTGTTGTACTCTCTCTCCAAAAGCACTTTTTGCACGCAATTCTCAAAACAGACTCTTATGGTATAGTTTTGACTCCACTATTGTATTGATAGTAGTTTTGTTGATATTTTGTAATTCTCTCTCTCTCTCTCTCTCCCATCGATACACTGACTCTGCGTTTTCATTCACTTATTCTTTCTCTCTCTCCTCAGTCTCCAAGTCTTTGTAAGTCTCAAAATAACTAATAAACCGATCGATAAGTATTGCTCTAAATCTATGGACTCAGTGGTGGAGTGAATGTTGGAATAAAAGAGAGAATGCATTGGCTTTTCATAAACATTATTATATTTGGTTTCACGCGATATGTCTTTTTCCCATTTCATCCAAATATTAGATTTATTTCTACTGTTTTTTCATACGATTCGGTCATATCTTTTGCCAAATTTTGTGGTCAACTGAATGATATGATTGATAACAAGTGAATATAGTGTATTGACTACAGTGTAATATACGCTATATTAGATTCATATCAATTATGGGTCTCTCTCTCCTCGCTCTCTCTCTCTCTCTCTCTTCCTCTCTCTCGCTCTCGGCTCCGGGCACTCAAATGTATGCAATTTATAGCACAGTAGCTGTTGTTTTGTCTGCGGTTTACTATTGTTTGACACTTTGTCTCTCTATTTCCAGTCTTTTTACATAATATCAGTGCAGATGAACACAAGACAGCCTAATATCGGTCAACCGTTACACTGATCTTATGAGACAAATATTTTTATTTCCTTAACTTTTAATACATTCAGTGCTTAATATGTATAACATTAGTCCAAAAGTTTTTTTTATGATTAAAATATATAATTTTTGTGAAGATTTTCTTATTTCCTCATTCATATTATCATTATTCCTATTATTTTATATCTTCACTATTAATGAAAATTTATTTCTAGCAATATTGGGTATTACTATAAATTATTAACTATGCATTTGAATAGAAAATATAATAAAATTAATGAATATGAATACTGTAATGTGAACAAAATTTTAATATAATTCACGGCTATTATGCATCAATAAAAATGTAATAAAATTGTAATAATAATAAATTGAATTTTAGATTATACAGTATATTTCTTATATAATATATAGAATTTTGAATTTTCTTATAAATTTATTTAAATGACACGAACTTTT